TTAAATTAAAGCTCTATCTTTATAGAATATTTATGATAAATTTCGTATTTTCAATATTTGTAGTACAAAAGCTTTGATTTTTTAATTAAAAGTAACCCTGACCGATTTTATCAAAACTTATCAAAATCCACCAATTTTAAAAAATTGATAACTTTTTCCGATATTAAGCGGAAGTGGTCAGGTTAGGTTTATATTAAAGGGCAATCTTTATAGAATATTTACGGTGAATTTTGTTTCTTCAGTATTTCTAGTACAAGAGATATGAGTTTTTTAAATTAAAGCAAGCTAGATCGAATTTTGCTAAAACTTGGCAGAAACAATCAATTTAAAAAAAATCATAACTTCGTTTCTATGTAAGGTGAAATAATGATGTTATGTTTAAATTAAAGCTCTATCTTTATAGAATGTTTATGATAAATTTCGTATTTTCAATATTTGTAGTACAAGAGCTTTGATATTTAATTGAAAGCAACCCTGACCGATTTTCTCAAAACTTGACAAATTGAACCAATTTTAAAAAATGGATAACTTTCTCCCAGATTAAGCGGAAGTGGTCAAGTTAGGTTTAAATTAAAGCTTAATCTTTATAGAATATTTATGATGAATTTTGTTTCTTCAATATTTCTAGTGCAAGAGATATGATTCTTTTAAATTAAAGCAACCTAGATCAAATTTTGCTAAAACTTGACAAAACAATCAATTAAAAAAAACAACTTCGTCCCTATATAAGATGAAACAATAAGGTTATGTTTAAATTAAAGCTCTATCTTTATAGAATATTTATGATAAATTTTGTAAGTTCAATATTTGTAGTACAAGAGCATTAATTTTTTAATTGAAAGCAAACCTAACTTGACCGATTTTGTCCAAATCCACCAATTTTAAAAAATTTATAACTCTTTCCCGGATTAACCGGAAGTGGACAAGTTAGGTTTAAATTAAAGCTCAATCTTTATAGAATATTTATGATGAGTTTTATTTCTTCAATATTTCTAGTACAAGAGATATGATTCTTTTAAATTAAATGAACTTAGATCGAATTTTGCTAAAACTTGGTAAAAAACAACCAATTTAAAAAAAATCATAACTTCGTCCCTATGTAAGATGAAACAATGAGGTTATGTTTAAATTAAAGCTCTATCTTTATAGAACATTTATGATAAATTTCGTATTTCTAATGTTTGTAATACAAGAGCTTTTATTTTCTAATTAAAAGCAACCCTGATAGGTTTTGTCAAAACTTGTCAAAATTCAACAATTTTAAAAAAGTGATAACTCTGTCCCGGATTAACCGGAAGTGGACAAGTTAGGTTTAAATTAAACCTCAATCTTTATAGAATATTTATGATGAGTTTCATTTCTTCAATATTTCTAGTACAAGAGATATGATTCTTTTAAATTAAATTAACTTAGATCGAATTTTGCTAAAACTTGGTAAAAAACAACCAATTTAAAAAAAATCATAACTTCGTCCCTATGTAAGATGAAACAAAGAGGTTATGTTTAAATTAAAGCTCTATCTTTATAGAACATTTATGATAAATTTCGTATTTCCAATGTTTGTAATACAAGAGCTTTAATTTTTTAATTAAAAGCAACCCTGACAAGTTTTGTCAAAACTTGTCAAAATTCACCAATTTTAAAAAATTGATAAATCTTTCCCGGATTAACCGGAAGTGGACAAGTTAGGTTTAAATTAAAGCTCAATCTTTATAGAACATTTATGATGAGTTTCATTTCTTCAATATTTCTAGTACAAGAGATATGATTCTTTTAAATTAAAGCAACTTAGATCGAATTTTAAATCTTGTCAAAAACAACCAATTTAAAAATTCGTCCCTATGTAAGATGAAACAATGAGGTTTTGTTTAAATTAAAGCTCTACCTTTATTGACTATTTATGATAAATTTCGTATTTGCAATATTTGTATTTTGGTTTAGCCATGCGTATTCAGACTTTGTTATTCAGTGCTAAATTATTGTAAGTTAAGTGTTAGTTCTAGTGCTTGTATTAGCTAAAAGTAGAACTAACTAACACAGAACGCAACGTTGGGTTGGTAGTTCATTCATCAACGAGTTTAAAGTGCAAATTAAAAATTTTTCATATCTTAAACTTTTGGCTATAACTCTTTCTCCTGGTTTTTACTGTATTAAATTTCTAGAGCCAAAACTAGCAAAGTTATTTATCATTTCAGTTAACATTAAAATATAGTACGGAAGTTCTCGTTAACAAATTCGGAAATTTCCATCAGTAAATTGTTATAGTTTAGCAGTTTGTGGCTTGTGCTTTTCCCATAACGAAAGTACAACGCGTTAAGAAATAAGTTTGTAACAACGTGGGGGCGGTTCTGAAACTTTGGAAATTGCCTGTGATGCCCATCAATTCGCCGGAAAATCCTCGTCTGTGTACACCTCCATTTTCCTATTCAGTGATTTAATTAATTAACTGCGCGCGCGCTCTTCGCCCCTTACACGATCGTTTGAAAAATGCCGTGGTCTGGGCCGGGAATAAATTCTTTTAATAAAAAACGAGGCATAAAGGCAACGAATCCCCGTGAGTTAATTACTTAATTAGTTCCGACTGAAGATGATCAACGTGCGGAGTAGCGAAATGACGAGCACCACTTTTGACTCCATTAAGGTTTGTTAATTAGAAATCAACACCGGCAGAGCGCCCGAAGGCTACAAAAAGATTCTCCCAGTTTAAACGTGTAGATAACGCGCGCGCTCTTTTCCGAAGGGGTGAATTATATCCTGGGCGGGAGTCTTTTTCGGACGTTTTCACTCTGATTAAGCGATTTTATTTCCGGATTGAAAAGATTTCGGCGATGCTCAAAGTTTCCATGCGAATTTTGTACCCTCAGGTGAACCTCTTAATTTCTACACGTTTAATTAATACTCTCAGATTACGTAAGCGCCTGAGGTGATTATGAAAGAATATTCTCCTCTAATTAGTCTTATCCGTCTTCTCTTTTTCAGTTTACATCAACCCAATTAGGCGGAGAAATCTTTTTTGTCATAATATTTACCTTTTCTTGCGATTAACTTTTTTGTTTTTATTTAAAATTGAGTTTGACTTTTTGAGCACAAAACATGAAACTGATTGTATTTTTTTTTTGATAACAAAAATATTTACCCTCGTGTGATGTGATGATGACCCCTTAGTTGTACATAGGGAAATTAAAATTTCTCCCTTGTGGTTTTCGGACGATATCGTTGAATGGTTATCCTGTCTGCATATGTGGAGATTTATTCTCAGTCAATATCCATAGAGAAAATGGGAATAACACGTAACGACACGCCGGACCGACATAAAGCGTCGGTCTTGCGATCGGGACAGAAATAAAACCGGCCGCAGAATAGAGAGAGAACGTTCACGATCTAGCAAATCGGAAGTCATAGATCGGCAATTTCTTTAAGGTTCCCGCGGGATCCACACGGTCCGGGGCAGGACATCAGCGTATTCTCTTTATGTCCTCACGAAATTATACCTTATGCCCTGCTGTCCCTATGCCCTGTCGGCACGTATACAGGGTAGGATGAGCTCTGCTCACCACCAGTCTTGTACTACTCAGGACTTATTAGGACTCGCCGCCAGGGTGAATTTTACTTTTATCTTTGCTATTTCAATTCCGACTTCCATCTCCATTACTTCCTAGGACCTTAATGCGTTCTTTGCGTTTCTCAACTAAATAAAAAGATACATCGTTTTTTTTTTGGTCAATAAAAAACTTGTATGTAAAACGTATTGTTTTCCCACGTCACGATTAGCCACTTCAACTAGATTCGGAGACAATTGAATGCCTAATACGCTTCGAGACTGCTTAATATTCAAAACAAATGGACATACATCGCACCTGAACCTGTCGAAAGCAGTTGTCGGTAGCATATTTTATATGTACACGTTTAAGTGCGAATCCGAGTTGCATAGGGTAATAGAACCAATGTTAGACATTTTAAGAAGATATTTAATATTATAATTTTATTGAACAGATGCATGACAAAGAGTATAACACACCTAAAAATACACACACTTCTTAGTTAAAGAAACGATAAACGTACAAGAAAATGTAAAATCTTTATGATTTTACACTTTATTGTTGGTAATAAAAACATTTTTACGATCGTTCTTGGATATCTTTATACATGTTAATCCTATATTTCTTAGTAGATCATCCTCACTACCAGAGTTAGTTAATTATGTACTAAGTTGGCAAAACTTGTTTTATAAAAACTTGTTATAAGTAGACTAGAAAGGTAATATCCGGGTGTCGTTAATTATTTACAGATTTTTCTCTTTATTAGTCTCAACAGCGACCTTTCATATTAACTTGAACGTTAAGATTGGGGTTTATTAAAGTATGGTCTTATAATATTTATAGCATCATATCCTCGTGCTACTGGACGATTGCAACATTTCTTCTTTTACGACGGCGCGATTTGGCGCTAATAGGTTAAGAAAAGCGCTTAATAGTATAAGAAGTCACAAAGTCATAAGACAACAAATTTAGCCTAACCTCTATCAATTTTCTCTTCCTTTATTATCACAGATGAAGAATATAAGTTCATAACTTTTAGTTATTATCAGTTCAGTGTCAGCCAACTTACTTTTATCTGCTATTTGATTAAAATTGGTTATAACCTGACAAATTATAATAAATTGTACACTTCACGGGGATATGATAATTTTATACGTAAATATTTACAGTGCTGACCCACTCTTATATGGAAATGACTAACTCTACTGACATAATTCTTCCAATAGAGCTAGCTCATCTCAGAAAATTAAGGATCAATAGTAGTACTAGTTATCTACCGATATGGAAGATAGTCTACCGATATACGACTTAATTTACCGATTTTCAAAACTTCGAATACAATTTAAAACTTTTTAATACAATTCTATGAAGTATTTATTTATGCTAAGAATAAAATTTGTTACAAAATTGGTTAAAATTTGACAATAAATACATGATAAGATAATTGATAACTAACAGTGTCTAAGTGTCAATTAAGTTGTTTTTGTCAAATCCGGGTGGAGAAGGTTTCGTTGAGTTCATTAGCATCTTCCATGTGCGACTGAGTTTCGAACCGTCTCCTCTATTCATGTTATTCCCATGACGATGAATTTCTGTCGCCTCTCTCGTCAATCTTTGGAAGTAATGTCCGTTTCTTGCTAGCACTTTGGTTTTGTCAAACTCTATGGTGTGTCCTGCAGATTGTTGGGTTCTACTCAGTCGGATATCCCTTCCGTGTTCCTTGATGCGGCATTCAATGTTACGTCCAGTTTGGCCAACGTAATATTTCCCGCAACTGCACGATAGCCGATACTCTCCTGCTTCCTTTAATGGAGTTAGTTTGTGTTTGGCTATCGGAAGAGCGTTTTGTATTTTGCTGACCGTATCGTATAGTAGCACGATATCATTCTTCTTCAGACACCTCGCAATTCGCTCCGTCATAACTGAAACATAAGGAAGGCAGATAATACCGGCTTGTGTCGTACTTACCGAGACATCCTTCTGTTTGCCTGATTTGGTGGCTTGTTGGATATCCCTCATCGTATAGCCGTTCTTCTGCAGTACATCTTCTGGGAATCTTTCTTCTTTCCTTAGGTTCTCTTTATCACATATCTTCTCTGCTCGCTGGAATAAGGCTTTAATCACGGACCTCTTCTGTTGTGAGTGATGGTGGAATGAAGCCTGCAGGTACCTTTTCGTATGTGTCTTCTTTCGATATACTCCCATTTTCATGCCCCCATCTGTCTTCCTAGTGACCAACACATCCAGGAATGACAACTCTTTTGCAGTTTTCTGTTAGGTAAATTTTATCAAGGGGTTCTGTGAATTGAGGTGGTCTAGAATTTCCTGGAGTTGCTCTTTTCCATGTTGCCAGATCACGAAAGTGTCATCGACGTAACGGAGCCATAGCTTCGGTTTCCACGGACTCTTCTTCAAACATCCTATATAATAGCATATTAATAGCTTATATAGCATTCCTATATAACTGGAAAAAAACCAGCCAAAACAAGCTTTAAAAGAAGTCTTAAACAGAAGTCTTCAGAAGTTTGTTACCGTTGTCCTCTATTTTATTTTTGTTGCTTGTTTCAATTAGGAATGCATAAATTATAGCTTATTTAACCTCTCAACAGTGTCTTGAGTTGTCAAAAAGTCATCAACTTTGACATTCTTTCATTATTTCCTTTACTATTGACAATTTAGTTGTGCATTTATGCCTGCATATCGATTATGAGAATTGTTTAAAGTACTGTTAAATTCATAAAAAATTATTCAGGATGTAACCCGCCTTGCTCTTTTCTATGCAACTGTAATCTGGTATCGATACATTTTTCCTTGAGTATTTAGGTTTTGTGTTTTGGTTATGTGGGTTTCATCTTTTCTTTTCTGAATTCTTAGTATATCTGCAAAATTGTGAATAAAAGCCAGTTAAAACAGGTGATTAACACATGGGAGGGAACCTAAGGTCGCTCTCAGGCTTCCTGACCGGCCATACGTTCCTAAAATACCATCTCTCCACCATTGGACACGCCGAGGATCAAACTTGTCAACTTTGTAACGACAAGTCAGAGACTGCTGAACATATTAGAACCTAGATTTCCTGCCGAGGTTTCCTCCTGAACCTAGATTTGCCCTAAACCTTGGAGGACGTGAGTTATAATAGATCTTATAGGTTGCGGTGATGAGAGGGGCCACTCCCCTCAGCCCGGCAGCAACAAAAAAGAACTTATAGATATTCAGTACATCTACTTTCCACTGTCGGTCTTGCTAATCGAAATAACCTGCCAAATGGAGTTCTTGGCCGTAAATCTTTCGCATATGTTGTGTAATTCGAAGGTGTGCTGTCTTGTCTAGTTGGGTACCTCTACTTAGGTTAGTCGAAAACTTTGCTAATATCTCTTTCGAATTCCAACGATCTTACAAAAAAAATATAAATCAAAATTTGAATCTTAGAGATCTTTTAATGTTCTGAAAAACATCTCGCACGTTAGTTAAATCAGTATGCAGTCGGTAACGATTCTGCCACTGTGTAAAGCAGACCAGGATTAATATGTCTTACTTAAAATTCCCAAGACCTCGATTTTTGAATTAAAAACAGCATTTTTGTGTTCACATTGAGCCTAATTTCATTGAGTAATGAAACTTGGTTTATGATGGACGCAAGTATATACTCTATTTTGTTTGATTCAGATACTGCATCTTAGTCATGACTTTGTGACAAAAAATATATCATAGCTTTCGATTATTAGTTTCTTTAAAAATTCTAACAGAATCAAAAGTTGAACGATCAAATCAAATAGAGTAATTGTATCAATGTAATCACATAAACAACTTCTTTTGCATTATATTGCCTTGACCCTCCGTTTCAAACTCCATCTTTGATTCAGTCAACATCAAAGTTGATCATCAAAGAACTTGTCTGTTTATGACGCTTGAAATAGAAACATTTTCTCAGAACATCAAGTTACAAGTATTTTGAACTTTAGGTTGTTTGGCTTTTCTTAACTGGAGTTGTTTAAGTGTGTGACTTTGATGCGAAGCGTGATGTCAATCATCATTCAATGACGACAAAAAAGTGTATTGTATTGAACAAGTATTGTGGGTTTGGATTCCAACCCACTGATTTTATAGTGTAGATGTTAATGGTCTCATCATAGCCCAACAACCGAAAAGCTTTCATTACAACCAGCAGGAAATGGGTCGAAGCATTTACTGATATTGATTGAATCAACATAGGATAGTGAGATCCGTGAGTGCAACAGGTTACTTTGTTCTGCAATAATTTTTTCAAGAAAAACCAGAAATACGAGAATAGGAGTGTGCTTCGATGGAATTCTTGAGCTCAATGAGAAGAAGAAACTTCCTAAAGTGGATTTACCATTTTCACTAGATTAGAAGGTATTTTTTCTATTGGATAGGCATAGTAGCCGCAAGACACACTCTTCTTCCTTGCTTTCCTCCATACCACATGCATGCAGACATTAACTCCTTAATGTTCATTTTCATTTCTGTTTAGGACTAGATTACCTTATTACTCAATAATTTCATCTTACCAGTTATTGCAACATATTTACCGCTGTCTCCGATTCAGTAGCAAAATCAATTCCAAGCCTATGCTTGTAAGATTTAGTAAATGTAGACAAATTTATAGTTTTTTATACTAAGAATTGATACAGTTGTACAACATTCAAATACACCGGTTTGTGGTTCGAGGTTGCAAAGTTAGTATTGAATCTCATTGTTTTTTAATAAAAGAATTGTAATAGACACATACTATTACAAATAATGTTCTGCCGTCAACTACAATTTTGATGCAATGTTTAATCAAAATTATTATTCAAAGTTTCATGAAAAGGCAATGTACTAATTTACATGTCACTATCCACTAAGAAACAAAGATAATGAAGAAATTAACTATTATCAAATAAATTGTGCGTAGTTATGAAGAAATGAATCTGGTTCATTTGCCACAATTCGAATTTAGAATTACTTTAAATATATCAACAAACAACAATAAGTTTAAAAGTCCGTGTGAACTGACATGATTACTATGAGATAATTAACCGTCAGCGAATTACAACATTGCTTACACACTCGAGCACACGTAATTCAAACTAATTATAACATACAAAAGAGTGAGTGGGCAGGTTTCAAGCTATGTAACAATGTGAAATGGTTATCTTATTTCTCCGAGTTGTTTCTATTCTAAACTATAATCATTATTATTATCTGATTTAGTAGTTTTGTTTTAAACTCAATTAATTAAATATTCTCCGGTTGCAAGGTTTTAATAGCAATTGTAATTCAAAGTGGCCCGTCAGGTAATCGTTTCCCTCCGCGGAATCGATTCTTTTTAGAATGCATCAATGCCGTCATGTCATTCATCGTTATGCCCATAAGTGGCAAACCCCTTTTAAATGAGAGAACAATGGTGAAATTTTAATTGCCGCCCTCTCTCCGCTTGCGCCCCGGGCGGTGCCTGATTTCAGCCGTTACAGCGTCTCCTCCTCGAATCCGCGCCGGTGTTTTTTCGCGCAGAACGCGAATTTCCTTGTGCGTAATTGCGGCGACACGTGCAGCCGCGTGCCAACCCCCGCCGTCCCCGACGGACGCCCCCGGGGGCCCTCAAGAAGTACGTTTCGGAATTCAAATGGGACGACGCGGGACAAATATGGCGCATTTAAGGAAAATCGTTTTATTTATTGGAATTATTTAATGCGACCCTTCGTATCGAACTCACGTACGTTTACGTCGAACGAAAATATCTTCCCTTTGGGATTTTAAACGGAATTGTAAATCATTTAAAAAGTGCTCATTCTTAACTACACACTTTAACATTTACACTAACTTACCTTTTTCATTAATTTATTTAGATTATTTGTAATAAATAGAAAATTTGATTACTTTGTTCATTTTTAGAGTAAGGATTTTGCTTTATACAAAGAGTGTATTACATGGAGATGTAGGATTTTCTGGTCGAGGGGAAAAGAGATGGGATGTAGCGTTTATTGACAGCCAGTAGATTGTTCCCCAATCTACTGGCCACCGGACAGCAGCTATAACTCGTACGGTTGCCGATATATGCGACCAACGGTTCGGGGTTGTCGGCCGACGCGACAGTAAAAAAAGCAGCCGAAATGGAAGGGACGCGGATATTTATTTCGTTTCGCATAGTTTTGTTTTTATCGGATATTGGATCGGCCCTACGTGGATTGTTTTCGTTTTACGCCCGTATTCCGCTATCGCACTTGCTAATTGCACGCGCGTTCGTTCAATATCCTCGAAAATCGACAAATTTTAATCATTTTCAAACGATACGAAATCATGACACTTCAATAACATCATCTATCGAGATGGGGGAGTTTGATCATCTATCGAATCCAATACTTCATTTTTGAATTATTTCTCTAAAGAGAAGAGAGAGATTTAATGGGTGGCTTGAATAAAACAGTAGTAAATGCTAATGCTACAATACTGAAGTAAATTCTTCAAGAGTAGCATGTACTACTCTATTTAGTTGCTTCGCTTTTAGAAGCTTATGAAAGGCCAGCTTCGTTAATCTTGCTACCATGCTACTTATCATTTTATACATTTATTAAGGAGACCCAGGATTTCAAAAAGGTGTTGGCATGGATTTAGGGATTCACCATTCAACAGTATCCAAAATTGTCAAAAAAGTTTCCAGTTAGATTTGTAATAAAACAAATGATTAGATAAAATATTCTGCTACTCGTGAAGGATTAAACAAAGCTGCTGAAGAATGGGCTGCTAATAATCATATACCCATTGTTATTGGAGCAATTGACTGCACCCATATAAAGATTTTAAAACTAATAACTCACGGAAATGAATACGTTAACCGAAAAGGAGTGTGTAGTATTAATTTTCAAGCAACATGTAATGCAAAAGAGATGTTTACGAGTGATGCTTCATGGTTAGTCCATGATAGCCGTATATGGCACTATTCATCTATATATGCAATCATGTTTAATCACGACCAAGATTTATGTTTACTGGGCGACTAAGGCTATGCTTTGACACCTTGGATGTTAACACTTTGAACGTTACTTCGGACAATTGAAGAGAAGATTCTTGAACTTTTGAAGTGCGTACTACTCTTTAAAAGTATTTACTTCCTACTAGCAGTATTTACTTTAAATCGCATAGTTCGTAATACATATGTGAGTAAATGCTACCGGAACTAAAGGCGTACTACATCCGAAAGTATT